CATTAGAGCTACATTTAAGCTGACCTACATTAGGGCTTCATGAAGGCTGACCTACATTAGAGCTACATCAGAGCTGACCCACATTAGAGCTACATTAAAGTTGACCTACAGTAGAGCTGACCCACATTAGAGCTGACCCACATTAGAGCTACATTAGAGCTACATTAAAGCTGACCTACAGTAGAGCTACATTAAAGCTGACCCACATTAGTGCTACATTAGAGCTAACCCTGTCTCTTCAGAGCCCACTCCTGGAGCCTGTGGTTTTCTCCAGCGTCAGTGAATCATCAGCTTTGATCATCAGAGCCTTCTGTGAGAGCGGCTCTTTACGAGATCTACTCTACAAGGTACAAGTACTACTTAATACTACTATTATACTGCTATTACTACTACTACTATACTGCTATTACTACTACTACTATACTGCTATTACTACTACTACTACTGCTATTACTACTACTACTATACTGCTATTACTACTACTACTACTACTACTACTATACTGCTATTACTACTACAACTATACTGCTATTACTACTACTACTACTACTATACTGCTATTACTACTACTACTACTACTACTGCTATTACTACTACTACTATACTGCTATTACTACTACTACTACTACTATACTGCTATTACTACTACTACTACTACTGCTATTACTACTACTACTATACTGCTATTACTACTACTATTACTACGGGCGGCAGTAGCTCAGTTGGTAGAGCGTTGGCCTTTGAGCCAGAAGGTCGTGGCTTCAAGCCCCACTCAAGACTTTCCCCATCGACTCCCACTGACTACTGTCGTTGTGTCCTTGGGCAAGACACTTAACCTCTGGGAACACCAGCCACAGTGGGGCGGCTGCGGCTGTAAAGTGCTAAACTGTCGTTGTGTCCTTGGGCAAGACACTTAACCTCTGGGAACACCAGCCACAGTGGGGCGGCTGCGGCTGTAAAGTGCTAAACTGTCGTTGTGTCCTTAGGCAAGACACTTCACCCCCATTGCCTAGAATGAGTCTGGTGTGTGTATGAATGGTTGGCACAGACTGGTTGCCTCGCTTCTGTCTGTGTGCCCCAGGGCAGCTGTGGCTACAGTAGTAGTTCATCACCACCGTGTTTGGAGTGAATGAATAATGACACATGTGAAGCGTCTTTGAGTGTCCAAAAAAGCGCTATATAAAACCGATGCATTATTATTATTATTATTATACTGCTATTACTACTACTATACTGCTATTACTACTACTACTACTACTATACTGCTATTACTACTACTACTACTATACTGCTATTACTGCTACTATACTGCTATTACTACTGCTACTATACTGATATTACTACTACTACTATACTGCCATTACTACTACTACTATACTGCTATTACTACTACTACTCTAGTGCCATTACTACTACTACTACTATACTGCTATTACAGATTCAGATTCAGTTTATTTGCCATTTGCAGTAAAAAAAAACCACATTGGAATATATTAGCAAAAGTCTCCAGTGTGCACAGACAAATACAGACAATAAAAGACAGAAATAAAACAAATAAAACAGTAAACAAATGTCACTGTGAAATCGATCGACTAAAACAGTTTCAAAACAAGTGCAAATCATTAAAGTGCTCTGTTCACACTGATAACAGCCTGTGGATAAAAACTGTTAGCATAACGAGATGTCCTGCATCTCAGGGAACGATATCTTCTGCCAGAGGGAAGAAGCTGGAACATGGCTTTCCCAGGGTGGCCAGAAGAGTCATTAACAATCCTAAGAGCTTTGTTTAAAAGTGTGGATTTATAAAGAACCTCCAGAACAGGAAGCTCACAGCCCACGGTCCTCTTTGCAGAGCGGAGCACCTTGTTTAAAGCTCTCTTTTCTTTATCTGTGATGTTTCCAAACCACACAGACACAGAACCAACAAGTAAACTCTCAATGGTGCAGCGATAAAAGTTAAGCACAATCTTAGAGTTAGTGGTAAATTCTCTAAGTTTACGCAGAAAGTAGAGACGCTGACGAGCTTTCTTAACGACTCGGTCAGTGTTTTTAACCCATTTCAGGTTAGACAGAGTTAAACCCAGAAACTTGCTCCTCTACGATCTGCACCTGGGAGTTGTCGATTACGACAGACAAATGAGAACTATTGCGACTGAAGTCGTAGACCAGTTCACATGTTTTGGATGCGTTCAACTGGAGGTTGTTAGTTTGACTCCACTGAACCACATTTTGTATCTCTGCTCTATAAGAGGATTCATCAGTGTCACTGATGAGACCGATGATGGTGGTGTCATCAACATATTTGATGATCAAGTTTGAGTCAGAGGAGGACACACAATCGTGAGTGTACAAAGTAATAAGCAAAGGACTCAAAATACATCCCTGAGGAGAACCAGTGCTCACAGAAACAACATCAGAAAAACACTCTCTGAGATCTGTCAGTTAAAAAGCTAAAAATCCATTTACACAAGGCAACACTTAAACCCAGAGACATGAGCTTTTCAATCAGTTTACCTGGGACAAGGCAGTTAAAAGCAGAGCTATAATGGATGAAAAGCATTCTGGCCACAGATTTACTAGTGTCCAAGTGACTGTAGACAGAGTTCAGAGCAAAGGAGATGCATCCTCCACACTCCTGTTCTGTCACTATTGCTATTACTACTACTACTATACTGCTATTACTACTTCTACTATACTGCTATTACTACTGCTACTATACTGCTATTACTACTACTACTATACTGCTATTACTACTGCTACTATACTGCTATTACTACTACTACTATACTGCTATTACTACTACTACTATACTGCTATTACTACTACTACTACTATACTGCTATTACTACTGCTACTATACTGCTATTACTACTACTACTATACTGCTATTACTACTTCTACTATACTGCTATTACTGCTGCTACTATACTGCTATTACTACTACTATACTGCTATTACTACTGCTACTATACTGCTATTACTACTGGCACTATACTGCTATTACTACTGCTACTATACTGCTATTACTACTGCTAATATACTGCTATTACTACTACTACTGCTATTACTACTGAAACTATACTGCTATTACTACTACTATACTGCTATTACTACTACTACTATACTGCTATTACTACTGCAACTATACTGCTATTACTACTGCAACTATACTGCTATTACTACTGCTATACTGCTATTACTACTACTACTATACTGCTATTACTACTGCAACTATACTGCTATTACTACTACTATACTGCTATTACTACTACTACTATTACTACTTCTATACTGCTATTACTACTACTACTATACTGCTATTACTACTGCTACTATACTGCTATTACTACTGCTACTATACTGCTATTACTACTGCTACTATACTGCTATTACTACTACTATACTGCTATTACTACTACTATACTGCTAATACTACTACTACTATACTGCTATTACTACTACTACTATACTGCTATTACTACTTCTACTATACTGCTATTACTACTGCTACTATACTGCTATTACTACTGCTACTATACTGCTATTACTACTACTACTATACTGCTATTACTACTACTACTACTACTACTTCTACTGCTATTATTACGACTACTATACTGCTATTACTACTTCTACTATACTGCTATTACTACTGCTACTATACTGCTATTACTACTACTATACTGCTATTACTACTATACTGCTATTACTACTTCTACTATACTGCTATTACTACTGCTACTATACTGCTATTACTACTACTACTATACTGCTATTACTACTACTGCTACTATACTGCTATTATACTGCTACTATACTGCTATTACTACTACTACTACTGCTATTACTACTGCACTGCTATTATTACTACTACTATACTGCTATTACTACTACTACTATACTGCTATTACTACTGCTACTATACTGCTATTACTACTGCTACTATACTGCTATTACTACTGCTACTACTGCTACTATACTGCTATTACTACTGATACTATACTGCTATTACTACTGCTACTATACTGATATTACTAGTACTACTACTACTACTTCTATTACTACTGCTACGATACTGCTATTACTACTGCTACTATACTGCTATTACTACTACTATACTGCTATTACTACTACTATACTGCTATTACTACTGCTACTATACTGCTATTACTACTACTATACTGCTATTACTACTACTACTATACTGCTATTACTACTGCTACTATACTGCTATTACTACTACTACTATACTGCTATTACTACTCCTACTATACTGCTATTACTACTGCTACTATACTGCTATTACTACTACTATACTGCTATTACTACTACTATACTGCTATTACTACTTCTACTATACTGCTATTACTACTGCTACTATACTGCTATTACTAATACTATACTGCTATTACTACTACTACTATACGGCTATTACTACTGCTACTATACTGCTATTACTACTACTACTATTACTACTATACTGCTATTACTACTACTATACTGCTATTACTACTACTACTATACTGATATTACTACTGCTACTATACTGCTATTACTACTACTATACTGCTATTACTACTTCTACTATACTGCTATTACTACTGCTACTATACTGCTATTACTAATACTATACTGCTATTACTACTACTACTATACGGCTATTACTACTGCTACTATACTGCTATTACTACTACTACTATACTGCTATTACTACTACTACTATACTGCTATTACTACTACTACTATACTGCTATTACTACTGCTACTATACTGCTATTACTACTGCTACTATACTGCTATTACTACTGCTACTATACTGCTACTATACTGCTAATACTACTACTACTATACTGCTATTACTACTTATACTATACTGCTATTACTACTGCTACTATACTGCTATTACTACTACTATACTGCTATTACTACTGCTACTATACTGCTATTACTACTGGCACTATACTGCTATTACTACTGCTATTACTATTGCTAATATACTGCTATTACTACTACTACTGCTATTACTACTGAAACTATACTGCTATTACTACTACTATACTGGTATTACTACTAGTAGTATACTGCTATTACTACTGCAACTATACTGCTATTACTACTACTACTATACTGCTATTACTACTGCAACTATACTGCTATTACTACTACTATACTGCTATTACTACTATACTGCTATTACTACTGCAACTATACTGCTATTACTACTACTATACTGCTATTACTACTACTACTACTATACTGCTATTACTACTGCTGCTATACTGCTATTACTACTTCTATACTGCTATTACTACTACTATACTGCTATTACTACTACTACTACTATACTGCTATTACTACTGCTATTATACTGCTATTACTACTACTACTATACTGCTATTACTACTTCTACTATACTGCTATTACTACTGCTACTATACTGCTATTACTACTACTACTATACTTCTACTGCATCATGTTATTTCCAGGTGAAGCCTAGAGAGTCGTATCTGAAGAAATATTGTAATCCCAAAAAGAGCCAAGGACTCGACCTGAGATCCATCAAAGTCTACGGACGCAATATCCTGGAGGTGAGTCCTGCTTTAGACCTGCTTTAGACCTGCTTCAGACCTGCTTTAGTCCTGCTTTAGACCTGCTTCAGACCTGCTTCAGACCGGCTTTAGTCCTGCTTTAGTCCTGCTTTAGTTCTGCTTTAGTCCTGCTTTAGTCCTGCTTTAGTCCTACTGTATGATATATGATTGTTTTGTCAAACAATCCTGGTCCAGTCCTGGTCCAGACCTGGTCCAGTCCTGGTCCAGACCTGGTCCAGTCCTGGTCCAGACCTGGTCCAGTCCTGGTCCAGACCTGGTCCAGACCTGGTCCAGTCCTGGTCCAGACCTGGTCCAGTCCTGGTCCAGACCTGGTCCAGTCCTGGTCCAGACCTGGTCCAGTCCTGGTCCAGTCCTGGTCCAGACCTGGTCCAGTCCTGGTCCAGACCTGGTCCAGTCCTGGTCCAGACCTGGTCCAGTCCTGGTCCAGACCTGGTCCAGACCTGGTCCAGTCCTGGTCCAGACCTGGTCCAGTCCTGGTCCAGACCTGGTCCAGTCCTGGTCCAGTCCTGGTCCAGACCTGATTCTCTCTCCTCAGGCCCTGCGGCTGCTGCATGAGTCGGGTCTTTACTTCGGACACCTTCACTGCTGTAATGTTGTGGTGGACGAGTCTTCGGTTCGACTTCTCGATTTGGAAAACGCCTTTTTAGGAACTCCCTCAGTGACCAGACCTTTGCTGCGGCAGTTCAGGAAGATCCATGTAAGACTTAGAGCTAACCTAACTCTAACCTGAGAACCACTGGGTTAGACCTACCCCTAACTTTAACCTGAGAACCACTGGGTTAGACCTACCCCTAACTCTAACATGAGAACCACTGGGTTAGACCTACCCCTAACTCTAACCTGAGAACTCTAAACCTGAGAACCACTGGGTTAGACCTACCCCTAACTTTAACCTGAGAACCACTGGGTTAGACCTACCCCTAACTCTAACCTGAGAACCACTGGGTTAGACCTACCCCTAACTCTAACCTGAGAACTCTAACCTGAGAACCACTGGTTTGACCTACCCCTAACTCTAACCTGAGAACCACAGGGTTAGAGCTACTCCTAATTCTAACCTGAGAACCACTGGGGTTAGAGCTACCCCTAAGTCTAACCTGAGAACTCGAACCTGAGAACCACTTGAGTTAGACCTACCCCTAACTCTAACCTGAGAACCACTGGGTTAGAGCTACCCTAACTCTTACCTGAGAACTCTAACCCAAGAACTCTAACCTGAGAACCACTGGGGTTAGAGCTTCCTCAACTCTAACCTGAGAACCACTGGGGTTAGAGCTACCCTAACTCTAACCTGAGAACCACTGGGGTTAGAGCTACCCCTAACTCTAACCTGAGAACCACTGGGGTTAGAGCTACCCCTAACTCTAACCTGAGAACCACTGGGGTTAGAGCTACCCTAAATCTAAACTGAGAACCACTGGGGTTAGAGCTACCCTAACTCTAACCTGAGAACCACTGGGGTGAGAGCTACCCCCAACTCTAACCTGAGAACTCTAACCTGAGAACCACTGGGGTTAGAGCTCCCCCAACTCTAACCTGAGAACTCTAACCTGAGAACCACTGGGTTAGAGCTACAATACAATACAATGTATTCTTGTATAGCCCTAAGTCACAGCAGCATCATCTCAGAGACTTCACTAAACCATTGAAATCACCAACACAGGTCAGAGAATCAAGAGTTAACACACAGAAAGAATATAGAACACATGTTGATAAATGTCATACATGTGATAAATGTCATACATGTGATAAATGTCACACATGTGATAAATGTCATACATGTGATAAATGTCATACATGTTGATAAATGTCACACATGTGATAAATGTCATACATGTTATAAATGTCACACGTGATAAATGTCACACATGTGATAAATGTCACACATGTTGATAAATGTCATACATGTGATAAATGTTATACATGTGATAAATGTCATACATGTTGATAAATGTCATACATGTGATAAATGTCATGCGAGTGATAAATGTCATACATGTGATAAATGTCATACATGTGATAAATGTCATACATGTGATAAATGTCATACATGTGATAAATGTCACACATGTGATAAATGTCATACATGTGATAAATGTCATGCGAGTGATAAATGTCATACATGTGATAAATGTCATACATGTGATAAATGTCACACATGTGATAAATGTCATACATGTGATAAATGTCATACATGTTGATAAATGTCATACATGTGATAAATGTCACACGTGATAAATGTTATACATGTTGATAAATGTCATACATGTGATAAATGTCACACATGTTGATAAATGTCACACGGGATAAATGTGATAAATGTCATACATGTGATAAATGTCACACATGTTGATAAATGTCACACGGGATAAATGTCACACATGTGATAAATGTCACACATGTGATAAATGTCACACATGTTGATAAATGTCACACGGGATAAATGTCACACATGTGATAAATGTCACACATGTTGATAAATGTCATACATGTGATAAATGTCACACATGTGATAAATGTCATACATGTTGATAAATGTCACACATGTGATAAATGTCACACATGTGATAAATGTCATACATGTGATAAATGTCATACATGTGATAAATGTCATACATGTGATAAATGTCACACATGTGATAAATGTCACACATGTGAAAAATGTCACACATGTTGATAAATGTCACACATGTTGATAAATGTCACACATGTGATAAATGTCATACAGTGCCTTGCGAAAGTATCCGGCCCCCTTGAACCTTTCAACATTTCGCCACATTTCAGGCTTCAAACATAAAGATATAACAATTACATTTTTTTTCATGAATCAGCAATAAGTGGGACACAATCGTGAAGTGGAACGAAATTTATTGGATAATTTAAACTTTTTTAACAAATGAAAAACTGAAAAGTGGGGCGTGCAATATTATTGGGCCCCTTTACTTTCAGTGCAGCAAACTCAGTCCAGAAGTTCAGTGAGGATCTTTGAATGATCCAATGTTGTCCTAAATGACTGATGATGATAAATAGAATGCACCTGTGTGTAATCAAGTCTCCGTATAAATGTACCTGCTCTTTGATAGTCTCAGGGTTCTGTTTAAAGCGCAGAGAGAACCATGAAGACAAAGGAACACACCAGGCAGGTCCGAGATACTGTTGTGGAGAAGTTTAAAGCCGGATTTGGATACAAAAAGATTTCCCAAGCTTTAAACATCTCAAGGAGCACTGTGCAAGCAATTATATTGAAATGGAAGGAGTATCAGACCACTGCAAATCTACCAAGACCCGGCCGTCCCTCCAAACTTTCATCTCAAACAAGGAGAAGACTGATCAGAGATGCAGCCAAGAGGCCCATGATCACTCTGGATGAACTGCAGATAACTACAGCTGAGGTGGGAGAGTCTGTCCATAGGACAACAATCAGTCGTGCACTGCACAAATCTGGCCTTTATGGAAGAGTGGCAAGAAGAAAGCCATTTCTCAAAGATATCCATAAAAAGTCTGGTTTAAAGTTTGCCACAAGCCACCTGGGAGACACACCAAACATGTGGAAGAAGGTGCTCTGGTCAGATGAAACCAAAATCAAACTTTTTGGCCACAATGCAAAACGATATGTTTGGCATAAAAGCAACACAGCTCATCACCCTGAACACACCATCCCCACTGTCAAACATGGTGGTGGCAGCATCATGCTTTGGGCCTGCTTTTCTTCAGCAGGGACAGGGAAGATGGCTAAAATTGATGGGAAGATGGATGGAGCCAAATACAGGACCATTCTGGAAGAAAACCTGTTGGAGTCTGCAAAAGACCTGAGACTGGGACAGAGATTTATCTTCCAACAGGACAATGATCCAAAACATAAAGCCAAATCTACAATGGAATGGTTCACAAATAGACGTATCCAGGTGTTAGAATGGCCAAGTCAAAGTCCAGACCTGAATCCAATCCAGAATCTGTGGAAAGAGCTGAAGACTGCTGTTCACAAACGCTCTCCATCCAACCTCACTGAGCTCGGCTGTTTTGCAAGGAAGAATGGGCAAGAATTCCAGTCTCTCGATGTGCAAAACTGATAGAGACATACCCCAAGCGACTTGCAGCTGTAATTGCAGCAAAAGGTGGCGCTACAAAGTATTAGCGCAAGGGGGCCGAATAATATTGCACGCCCCACTTTTCAGTTTTTTATTTGTTAAAAAAGTTTAAATTATCCAATACATTTCGTTCCACTTCACGATTGTGTCCCACTTGTTGTTGATTCATGACAAAAAAAAATATTTTTATATCTTTATGTTTGAAGCCTGAAATGTGGCGAAATGTTGAAAGGTTCAAGGGGGCTGAATACTTTCGCAAGGCACTGTACATGTTGATAAATGTCACACGTGATAAATGTCATACATGTTGATAAATGTCATACATGTTGATAAATGTCATACATGTGATAAATGTAATACATGTTGATAAATGTCATACATGTTGATAAATGTCATACATGTGATAAATGTCATACATGTGATAAATGTCATACATGTGATAAATGTCATACATGTGATAAATGTCATACATGTGATAAATGTCATACATGTTTATAAATGTCATACATGTGATAAATGTCACACATGTTGATAAATGTCACACATGTGATAAATGTCACACATGTGATAAATGTCATACATGTTGATAAATGTCACACAGGTTGATAAATGTCATACATGTGATAAATGTCATACATGTTGATAAATGTCATACATGTGATAAATGTCATACATGTTGATAAATGTCACACATGTGATAAATGTCATACATGTGATAAATGTCATACATGTTGATAAATGTCACACAGGTTGATAAATGTCATACATGTGATAAATGTCATACATGTGATAAATGTCATACATGTTGATAAATGTCATACATGTGATAAATGTCATACATGTGATAAATGTCACACATGTTGATAAATGTCATACATGTTGATAAATGTCACACATGTTGATAAATGTCATACATGTGATAAATGTCATACATGTGATAAATGTCATACATGTTGATAAATGTCATACATGTGATAAATGTCACACATGTTGATAAATGTCATACATGTGATAAATGTCACACATGTGATAAATGTCATACATGTTGATAAATGTCATACATGTGATAAATGTCATACATGTGATAAATGTCATACAGGTGATAAATGTCATACATGTGATAAATGTCATACATGTGATAAATGTCATACAGGTGATAAATGTCATACATGTTGATAAATGTCATACATGTTGATAAATGTCACACATGTGATAAATGGCACACATGTTGATAAATGTCACACGTGATAAATGTCACACATGTGATAAATGTCATACATGTGATAAATGTCACACATGTGATAAATGTCACACATGTGATAAATGTCATACATGTGATAAATGTCATACATGTGATAAATGTCATACATGTGATAAATGTCATACATGTTGATAAATGTCATACATGTGATAAATGTCACACATGTGATAAATGTCATACATGTGATAAATGTCATACATGTGATAAATGTCACACATGTGATAAATGTCATACATGTTGATAAATGTCATACATGTGATAAATGTCATACATGTGATAAATGTCATACATGTGATAAATGTCATACATGTGATAAATGTCATACATGTGATAAATGTCATACATGTGATAAATGTCATACATGTGATAAATGTCATACATGTGATAAATGTCACACATGTGATAAATGTCACACATGTGATAAATGTCATACATGTGATAAATGTCATACATGTGATAAATGTCATACATGTGATAAATGTCATACATGTGATAAATGTCACACATGTGATAAATGTCATACATGTGATAAATGTCATACATGTGATAAATGTCATACATGTGATAAATGTCACACATGTTGATAAATGTCATACATGTGATAAATGTCATACATGTGATAAATGTCATACATGTGATAAATGTCACACATGTGATAAATGTCACACATGTGATAAATGTCACACATGTTGATAAATGTCACACATGTTGATAAATGTCATACATGTTGATAAATGTCACACATGTGATAAATGTCATACATGTGATAAATGTCATACATGTGATAAATGTCATACATGTTGATAAATGTCACACATGTTGATAAATGTCATACATGTGATACATGTCATACATGTGATAAATGTCATACATGTTGATAAATGTCATACATGTGATAAATGTCATACATGTGATAAATGTCACTAATGTGATAAATGTCATACATGTGATAAATGTCATACATGTGATAAATGTCATACATGTGATAAATGTCATACATGTGATAAATGTCATACATGTGATAAATGTCATACATGTTGATAAATGTCATACATGTTGATAAATGTCACACATGTGATAAATGTCATACATGTGATAAATGTCATACATGTGATAAATGTCATACATGTTGTAGAATGTTAAAGTGTCCTGGATCATCACAGTCCTTCTAGTTGGACACTAACTGTCCAACAGACCCTCCTGCATCAGAGGAAAAACTCATAAGAAAACCCAGTGGGAAAAGTGAGAAACCTCTGGGAGACCCATGGTTTGAAAGGCATCCGCTCCCACGGACGGACGAGCTATAGATCCAGGAGTCAGACTGTAGAACGAGGACTGAGGCTGTAGATCCAGGAGTCAGACTGTAGAACGAGGACTGAGGCTATAGATCCAGGAGTCAGACTGTAGAACGAGGACTGAGGCTATAGATCCAGGACCTAAGCTACAGAACGTGGACCAGTGGCCGCTGAACGTGGACAGGTCCGGTGCAGGACTGAAGCACTCCCAGGCGGGTCGGGCGGGGCAGTCCGCAGGTGTAGATGGAGGAGGCCAGGCTCAGAGATCCCGTCATCGTACCATGAAACAGACAATGGGACAACGGGTGAATAGCAATGAACAAACTACAGTCAAAATCCTAATAATGCTAAACAGATAAAGTAGGAAGGAGGAGAGGATATTGCTCAAGTTACCATACTTCTCCAGCAGGGGGCTCCCTATGCAGCTTGACTGACACTCTTTGTATGTTAAAAGAACTGGCTCCACAGGGAGCCAGTTGAGTGATTTTTAACACCGGAGTTATGTGCTCCCTCCTTTTGGTACCTGTTAAGATCCTTGCTGCTGTATTCTGAACGAGCTGGAAGCTCTTCAAAGAGGTTTTAGGGCATGTCCTGCACCGGACCTGTCCACGCTCAGCAGCCGCTGGTCCACGTTCTGTAGCTTAGGTCATGGATCTATAGCCTGTCTGTCCGTGGGAGCGGATCCCTTTCTCAACCTGTAAAAAAAAGGATCTCCCCGAGGTTTCTCACTTTTTTCCCACTGGGTTTTTTTAAAAGAGTTTTTCCTTGCCGATGCAGGAGGGTCTGTTGGGCAGTTAGTGTCCAACTAGAAGGATGTGGTGATGATCCAGGAAACTTTAATATGCTACAACATGTATGACATTTATCAACATGTGTGACATTTATCAACATGTGTGACATTTATCAACATGTATGACATTTATCAACGTGTGTTCTATATTCTTCATGTGTTTTAACTGTTGATTCTCTGATCTGTGTTGGTGATTTCAAGGGTTTTGTTAAGTCTCTGAGATGATGCTGTTGTGACCTAGGGCTATACAAGAATACATTGTATTGTATTGTATTGTATGCTGCCAGTAAAGCGTTACAGTAGTCGAGTCTTGAGGTGACAAAAGCGTGGATTAGTTTTTCCGCGTCACTTTTAGGAAGGAAATTCCTCATTTTAGCGATGTTCCGTAAGTGGAAGTACGCCGTTTTAGTTGCTTGGCTTATATAAGCCTTGAAGGAGAGTTCTTCGTCAAAAATGACTCCAAGATTCCTCACAGTGTTACTGGGTATAATACTGACATTATCAGAGTGATTATCTGGTTAGTGAGGGAGTCACGCAGGCGCTTCGGACCGAGTAGGATCACTTCTATCTTCTCCGGGTTGAGAAGTAGGAAGTTAAGTCATCCACATTTTAAGGTCCTTTATGCAGCACTAAGCTTTTCTAGCTGATCTGTCTGATTTGGCTTCATCGACAGATAAAGCTGTGTGTCATCTGCAGCAGTGGAAATTAATTCCATGCTTTTTAATAATGTTTCCTAATGGCAGCATGTAGAGAGTGAAAAGAATCGGTCCGAGTACCGAACCCTGCGGCACACCGAATTCTACTCCAGAATAAGGCGACGAGTTCTGATTTACGTTGACGAAGTGATACCGATCTGATAAATAGGATTTAACCTTTTAAGGCATCAGTATTAGAATTCACTTGTGTCAATATAGTCAAGCTATATCTCTTTTGAAAGCTTATTCCCACCTCTAAACGCGTATTATGTTCAAATAAACATTAAATATAATCAAAAGTAAGAATAAGTAGTCAAACTGTATTTATATATAAAATATATATTGTCCTTTCTTACATTTTCATGCTAATATTCTGGGGCAAATCACGTCTAATCCACACATGTGTGCATTCATTTTGTTCGTTAGGGTCTAGAGAATAATTATATCCAGTTGTTTTTTCTTCAAAGTCATCCTTATAGTAGATATCCACTTGTAACAACATATTTGAGTATTGAAAGTTGCACAAACAAAAACAAAACCTGTTCTTTGCACACTGTATGAAGAGAACATTTTACTATTTACCTAGCGTCACTGGGTATGTTCGTCTTCCCCTAAGCCTCCCCTTCAAAACAAGCCCATTCCCGGAGTGCCATGGTTTGGAAGGTAGAGTAAGTTGAGTAAAACAAGCGCACCTAGCTTTAGCGCTCCAGTCAAATAGATATCTGTGCGTCACGACAGCATTGTCTTGAGTACCATTGGCCGATTTGGATGTTAATCAAATCATCTTGTAGCCAATAATCTCAGGTTTCAGGCGATGTGTCGGACTTCAAGGTTCCTCCCACAGTTCCAGTCATATTTGAATGCGTAAGAGAGGAAGACGGAGCCTCTTTCACGGAGAACACGCGCTATAACTATATAAATAATAGCTTTTCTGCAAACATTTCAATATCTCGAAAAAATGCTATTTATAGCAAGAGTAATAGCCAAAAAATGATATAATTAGATTTTTGGTGTAAAAACATTGATAATTTGCATGTAAAACACTTTGGCACAGTTGGCACAAAAATGGACCACTTGTGCCGAATGTGCCCATTAGTTACAAAAAAGCCCCCAGCATCAAAATAGTTCCACCTAAAGGTCTAAAATTTCATACAGGTGTTGCCAACACCACAAACATCTGCTCTGGTGAGTTTGAACAACATACCATAAAGTATGTCTTCAGGAGAACCTTTTGAAATTGCCTTCTTTTTTTTTAGACAAAAAAAACTAACTTTGACTCATGTTTGAGAAGCTGTAGTGCAGACTGGGTCCTTCCTAACAAACTTTAACATACATTTCCAGAAACTAGAAGGTGTTACCTTTGAAATGAGGCCTCATAACACAACATCAGACACAAGATGTCCACACAACAAGCATTTCCATTTGGGTATCATAATTCGAAAAGGAACAGGCGAAATTAGGCGATCCTTAAAGGGTTAAACCAGCCAAGGGCTGTTCCTCTAAGACCTATATCACATTCTAGCCTCTGCAGTAGAATGCTGTGGTCTATTGTGTCAAATGCAGCACTAAGGTCCAGTAGGACCAGCACTGACACTTGTCCATTATCAGCAGCTAGTAGTAAGTCATTTGTGACTTTGACTAGTGCCGTTTCAGTCTATGATGAGCTCTGAATCCAGATTGAAAGACTTCAAACATATTATTTTCCTGCAGGTGGCAGCGGAGCTGCTCAGCTATAAGTTTTTCCAGGATTTTAGATATGAAAGTGAGGTTTGAGATCGGTCTGTAGTTTGGAAGTATTTCTGGGTCCAGGTTTGTTTTCTTCAGAAGGGGTTTGATTACAGCGGTTTTAAAAGCTTGTGGGACATAGCCACATTGTATGGATGCGTTTATTATATTTACGATAGGCTCAATTATCAAAGCAAGTGTCCTCTCTCCTGGTCCTCACTCCTGGTCCTCACTCCTGGTCCTCACCCCTGGTCCTCACCCCTGGTCCTCACTCCTGGTTCTCACTCCTGGTCCTCACATGTCTCCTGGTCCTCACTCCTGGTCCTCACATGTCTCCTTGTCCTCACATGTCTCCTTATGGTCCTCACATGTCTCCTTACGGTCCTCACATGTCTCCTGGTTCTCACATGTCTCCTTATGGTCCTCACATGTCTCCTTATGGTCCTCACATGTCTCCTGGTCTTCACATGTCTCCTTATGGTCCTCAGAGCACAGAGGACATAGACATTTTCTCCTTCGGTCTCGTTCTGTTCGAGATGACGTACGGTCGTCCTCCAGACGCTGTTCCTGTCCACCACTTCCCCGACATCCCACACCCCGACCTCGGTAACACACACACACACACACACACACACACACACGTTTTTGTTACCTGGTGGGTCCCTTTGACAGGGCCGTTCAGAATGGGACCCATAGACATAATCTTTTTTACTGGGACTACTTTAAGTAATACAAAACAGTCAATAGAAAACAAACAACTATTTTAAAGGAATTTTATTTTTGATTTATTTTTCGAATTGCAGTGATTCTATTTTTGACATAGAATTTAATGCCACTCCATGTCCGATGTCTAAGGTCATCTGGTGAGGCATTAATGCAGGCCAGGCAGTGAGACTTCCCAGGGACCTTTCCAGTCTGTATGAAAGGTGTCATGGTCTTCTCCACAGCCTTCACCTCAGATGCAGACCATGGCTTTCTCTAACGTTCTAGGGAGAGAAATAAAAATATATTAGCAATATACACTCCCAGGGTGAGGACCAAGCAGCCTGGCTGTAATCCCCCACCTGGTACACTTACCAGAAGGGGCACTGCCACTACCATGGGGTGCATCTGGATGAATGGTTGAAGGTTCTCCGCTTGAAGTTTCTTTTAGCCCGTCCGTTTGTGAGAGGATCTCTACTGCTCTCCCTGTCGCACAGAAAATAAAAATACAAGTGGCCTTTAGGGGAAAAAAATCATACATATTTTAATAATATCAAGAATTACCTTCAGGCTCAATTTGTATCTGGTCGAGGCTCTTTCCTTCGAATTCCGTCACTCTTCCCTGCTCCATGGCCATCAACACTTTGCTGATTTTGGCCAGCTCCAGTGTCCCCTCTGGTAGTCTGTAATATTGCCTGTGGATGCGAATGTCATGGCCGAGGAAGTTGGCAAGTATGTCCATCTCATTCTCTTTCATATTGAGAACTGTAGACATAGTAGCTATGTGCTTTCTAAGTTTGGTTGAGGATAGCATCTCTGGATGCACCGCACCACATTCTTTGGCTACCTGGCGTAGGGAGTCTGATCCCCTGATGTGGGTGTCTGGTCTCTCTCTCTGGTCTCTCTCTGGTCCCTCTCTGGTCTCTCTCTGGTCTCTCTCTGGTCTCTGTTCTAACCCTCGGTCTCCTTGTGTTCTCAGGTTTGGTGCTTGAGTCCCTGTTGTCCTCGGAGGCTCTGAAAGCAGGACTTCCGTCTGTGTCCGAGCTTCTGCAGACATCGTGCGTCCACTCCAGGGTTTTCTAATCTTCAATCATCGTCAACTATCTGTTTTTAAATCTTATCTGTAGTACCTCAAACCAGCACTGTTCTGGTCCGGGTCAGACCCTGGCCCACTGCTCTCTATCTGGTCTCACTCTGGTCTCACTCTGGTCTCTCTCTTTTCTCACTCTGGTCTCTCCCTGGTCTCTCTCTGGTCTCACTTTGGTCTCACTCCATTCTTTCTCTGGTCCCTCTCTGGTCTCTCACTCTGGTCTCACTCTGTTATTTCTCTGGTCTCTCTCTGGTCTTTCACTCTGGTCTCACTCTGTTATTTCTCTGGTCTCTCACTCTGGTCTCACTCTGTTATTTCTCTGGTCTCTCTCTGGTCTCTCTCTGGTCTCACTCTGGTCTCACTCTGGTCTCACTCTGGCCCTTGCAGATTCTTTGCTGACGTCCAGATCTCAGAGAAACTACATCAGATCAAAGTCCCGAGTCGTTTGAAAGAATCTTTGAAGTCGATGAAGGAGAAACTGGAGACGAGACTCCAGGAGGAACAGAGACAGGTCTGGACCAGACCAGGACCAGGACCGGACCAGGACTGGACCAGGGCCGGACCAGGACTGGACCAGGACCGGACCAGGACTGGACCAGGACCGGACCAGGACCGGACCAGGACTGGACCAGGATCCAAGTTCAGACCAAACTGAACCAGGTGTCTCTGCAGCTTCATCATCACAGACGCGTCTCAAGAGCTCAGTCTCATCATGGATCTGACGAAGAGAAGAAGAGGAGGCGGCAGCTGGCCCGAAAGGTACTCGAGTACTCTGTAATAGAGTACTCCTACAGTACTCTCTACTCTGTTATCTAGTACTACAGATACTACAGTAATAGAGTACTGGGATACTCCAGTCATAGAGTACTCAGATACTCCAGTCATAGAGTACTCAGATACTACAGTAAAAGAGTACTCAGATACTACAGTAATAGAGTACTGGGTAACTACAGTAATAGAGTACTCAGATACTACAGTAATAGATTACTGGGATACTACAGTCATAGAGTACTCAGATACTACAGTAATAGAGTACTGGGATACTACAGTCATAGAGTACTCAGATACTACAGTATTAGAGTTCTGGGATACTACATTAATAGAGTACTGGGATACTACAGTAATAGAGTATTCAGATACTACCGTCATAGAGTACTCAGATACTACAGTAATAGAGCACTCAGATACTACAGTCATAGAGTACTCAGATACTACAGTCATAGAGTACTCAGATACTACAGTCATAGAGTACTCAGATACTACAGTAATAGACTACTGGGTAACTACAGTAATAGAGTACTCAGATACTACAGTAATAGAGTACTCAGATACTACAGTAATAGAGTACTTAGATACTACAGTAATAGAGTACTCAGATACTACAGTCATAGAGTACTCAGATACTACAGTAATAGACTACTGGGTAACTACAGTAATAGAGTACTCAGATACTACAGTAATAGAGTACTCAGATACTACAGTAATAGATTACTCTTGTGTTCTCAGAAGTGTCGACAGTCGGCGTTTGAACCTGAAGAAGAGCTTTGTGTTCGCAACAACACCTCAGGTGTAACTTTAGAGCCTCCTCCTCCTCCTCTTTAGAGCCTCCTCCTCTTTAGAGCTTCCTCCTCCTCTTTAGAGCCTCCTCCTCTTTAGAGCCTCCTCCTCTTTAGAGCTTCCTCCTCCTCTTTAGAGCCTCCTCCTCCTCTTTAGAGCCTCCTCCTCTTTAGAGCCTCCTCCTCCTCTTTAGAGCCTCCTCCTCTATAGAGCCTCCTCCTCCTCTTTAGAGTCTCCTCGTCTTTAGAGCCTCCTCCTCCTCTTTAGAGCCTCCTCGTCAGCTGTAGCACCTCCTCCTCTTTAGAGCCTCCTCCTCCTCTTTAGAGCCTCCTTCTCTTTAGAGCCTATTCCTCCTCAGCTTTAGAGCCTCCTCCTCCTCTTTAGAGCCTCCTGCTCGTCTTTAGAGCCTCCTCGTCAGCTGTAGCACCTCCTCCTCTTTAGAGCCTCCTCCTCCTCCTCCTCAGCTTTAGAGCCTCCTCCTCAGCTTTAGATTCTCCTGCTCCACAGCTGTAGCACCTCCTCCAAACACAGCTGTAGCACCTCCTCCAAACACAGCTGAAGCACCTCCTCCTCCAAACACAGCTGAAGCACCTCCTCCTCCAAACACAGCTGTAGCACCTCCTCCTCTAAACACAGCTGTAGAGCCTCCTCCAGACACAGCTCTAGCGCCTCCCTTAGACACTCTCTCCTCCTCCTCACCCTAGCTGGCGCTGCTCCTGGTGCTGCTCCTGGCGCTGCTCCTGGTGCTCCTCCTGGTGCTACTCCTGGTGCTGCTCCTGGTGCAGCTCCTGGCGCTGCTCCTGGTGCAGCTCTAACGCCTCTTGCTCTTGTGTAGGTTCCGGGGCGAGCTCTCCTCACACTTGTCCTTCTTCGCCCACTCCCCCTACAGGTCAGTGCTGGAACTACACTATCCACATGTTCTTATGGGCTGTGATTGGACATGTGACTTTCCTGCATTGCACGGGTGGCATGGTGGCTGAGTGGTTAGCACTCGCACCTCTCAGCAAGAACGTCCTGGGTTCGAATCTCGGTCGGAACAGGACCTTTCTGAGTGGAGTTTTTGTGTTCTCCCCGTGTCTGCGTAGGTTTCCTCTGCATCCTCTGGTTTCTCCTACCCATACCACTGAAAATATGCTCAATAGGTAAAATCCTCCTGCTCTGGTCCTGACCAAGCCTGGACGCTGTTACTACGGCGACCACTGCTCCTGACGTGGCATCAGGGTCAAATGCAGAGGACAGGGTTAGGGGATAAAGTGCACATTTACATTTGCATGTTCTATTCACCTGAGCTGTGATTGCGTAGGTTTCCTCCGGGTACTCCAGTTTCCTCTACAACTAAAACATAGGTCTGTGCCGCCTGTACTGACCTTCTCTCACCGTATCTCTGTTAGTCCACAGACTGAGAGACAATTGTCCAAAAATAACATTTGTAAACCGCTTTGTGACTAGGCGCTATATAAATAAAGATTACTTACTTGATTGGACGACGGTCATGTGACTCTCATGCATGTTCTAACGACCTGGGCTGTGATTGGACGACTGTCATGTGACTCTCATGCATGTTCTAACGACCTGGGCTGTGATTGGACGACTGTCATGTGACTCTCATGCATGTTCTAACGACCTGGGCTGTGATTGGACGACGGTCATGTGACTCTCATGCATGTTCTAACGACCTGGGCTGTGATTGGACGACGGTCATGTGACTCTCATGCATGTTCTAACGACCTGGGCTGTGATTGGACGACTGTCATGTGACTCTCATGCATGTTCTAACAACCTGGGCTGTGATTGGACGACGGTCATGTGACTCTCATGCATGTTCTAACGACCTGGGCTGTGATTGGACGACTGTCATGTGACTCTCATGCATGTTCTAACAACCTGAGTTGTGATTGGAGGACGGTCATGTGACTCTCATGCGTGTTCTAACAACCTGAGTTGTGATTGGACGACGGTCATGTGACTCTCATGCATGTTCTAACGACCTGGGCTGTGATTGGACGACTGTCATGTGACTCTCTTGCATGTTCTAACGACCTGAGTTGTGATTGGACGACGGTCATGTGACTCTCATGCGTGTTCTAACGACCTGAGTTGTGATTGGACGACGGTCATGTGACTCTCATGCATGTTCTAACGACCTGGGCTGTGATTGGACGACTGTCATGTGACTGTCATGCATGTTCTAACTACCTGGGCTGTGATTGGACGACTGTCATGTGACTCTTATCCATGTTCTAACGACCTGGGTTGTGATTGGACGACTGTCACGTGACTCTTATCCATGTTCTAACGACCTGGGCTGTGATTGGACGACTGTCATGTGACTCTCATGCATGCTCTAACGACCTGAGTTGTGATTGGACGATGATCATGTGACTCTAGTGCATGTTTTAACGACCTGGGCTGTGATTGGACGACTGTCATGTGACTGTCATGCATGTTCTAACTACCTGGGCTGTGATTGGACGACTGTCATGTGACTCTCATGCATGTTTTAACGCCCTGGGTTGTGATTGGACGACTGTCATGTGACTCTAGTGCATGTTTTAACGACTTGGGCTGTGATTGGACGACGGTCATGTGACCCTCCTTTATGTTTTAGTCCTAAGACATTTAATATTATCCATCCATCTTCCCCTTAATCCATTCCTGGGTTGAAGGGGTGGCAGTCAGAGCTGCACCCAGTTCACAGAGCACCAGCCCCTCACTGCTCCTCACTGCTCCTCACTGCTCCTCCTGCTCCTCACTACTCCTCACTGCTCCTCACTGCTCCTCACTACTCCTCACTGCTCCTCACTGCTCCTCACTGCTCCTCCTGCTCCTCACTGCTCCTCACTGCTCCTCACTGCTCCTCACTACTCCTCACTGCTCCTCACTGCTCCTCCTGCTCCTCACTGCTCGTCATTGCTCCTCCTGCTCCTCACTGCTCCTCACTGCTCCTCCAGCAGGAGGTGAGTCACAGGAGGACGACTGCTCTTGTCTGAGCTGCCTTTATCTTTCAGTGGGGGCTTCAGGCAAAGTGGGGTTAAGAGTATTGCCCAAGGACACGAGAGCAGATATCAGTGGAAAGTAGGTCTCATAGTGGACTCAAACCCATGACCTTCAGGCCCAAAGACAATGCTCTACACACTGAGCCCCTGTCGCCCAAATTTAATATTTATTAAATGTTCATTAAAAACAAGTGACTTTAAATAAAGATAAGATAAGATGCTTCATTTATCTCACAAAGATAACTTTGACTTTTAGTGAGAAGTCTTGATCCAAGCTTTAAAGCTGCATTAAAGCTCAGGTCTGTGACTTTAAAGCTGGGGTTTGTGGCTTTAAAGCTGGGGTCTAACTTTAAAGCTGTGGTCTGTGACGTTAAAGCTGGGGTCTAACTTTAAAGCTGGGGTCTGTGAATTTAAAGCTCAAGTCTGTGACTTTAAAGCTGGGGTCTGTGACTTTAAAGCTCAGGTCTGTGACTTTAATGCTCTGTCTGTGACTTTAAAGCTGGGGTCTGTAACTTTAAAGCTGGGGTCTGTGACTTTAAAGCTGGGGTCTGTAACTTTAAAGCTCTCACATCAGGACTTCCCTCATTGTCTCTGCATAAATCATTGTGTTTTTGGAATTGTTTGTTTCCTAATATGTGGGCTGCGTCCAAGTCTCTCTGAAAGAAGCTTTTTAGAGCTGACTCTGGCGCAGCCCTCTCTCTCTCTCTAACTCTATCTCTATCTCTATCTCTAACACTAACTCTAACCCTCTCTCGAACTCTGACTCTAACTATCTCTAACTTTCTCTTTAACTCTAAGTCTCTCTAACTCTATCTCTCTCTAACTCTAACTCTCTCTCTAACTCTATCGCTAACACTAGCACTAACTCTCTCTCTAACTCTGACTCTAACTATCTCTAACTCTAACTTTCTCTTTAACTCTAAGTCTCTCTAACTCTAACTCTCTCTAACTCTAACTCTCTCTCTAACTCTATCGCTAACACTAGCACTAACTCTCTCTCTAACTCTGACTCTAACTATCTCTAACTCTAACTTTCTCTTTAACTCTAAGTCTCTCTAACTCTAACTCTCTCTCTAACTTTAACTCTCTCTCTAACTCTAAGTCTCCCTAACTCTCTAACTCTAACTTTCTCTGTGTTCTTCTTTGTTCTCTCAATAGAGCATGCTCTCTTCTGACCTGTTTCTGGGTAATGTAGTTTTTACGTTTCTGTCCACACTGCACTTCCCACAATCCAACAGGCGCTACACATTAGTATTTATTCTGCAACACAGTCTGAGAATGTGACATCACAGAGCAAACATGTGGCATCACCACCAAAGCAGCTTCCTCTTATGTTGTGATGTCACATGTTTATTTGGGTAGACTGTGAGTCATCCGAGACCAGAACCTGCTCCTGATCAGAACTTTCTGGTTCAAAAGTCCGTTTTGCAGAATACATCTCTAACTGTTATTTACTTACTTAATTACTTACTTACCAACTGTTAGTTACTCACTTAATTACTTACTTACTTACTGCTGGTTACCTCCCTACTAACTGTTAGTTACTTACTTACTAACTAACTGTTACTTACTGTTTGTTGCTTACTTAATTACTTACTAACTGTTAGTTACTTACTTAATTACTTACTTACTAACTGTTAGTTTATGTGCACTTTATCTGTGCACTTTAGAGCTCGGTTTCATCACTTTAGAGCTCGGGTTCATCACTTTAGAGCTCAGTTCATCCCTTTAGAGCTAGGGTTCATCACTTTAGAGCTCGGGTTCATCACTTTAGAGCTCAGTTTATCACTTTAGAGCTAGGGTTCATCACTTTAGAGCTCGGGTTCATCACTTTAGAGCTAGGGTTCATCACTTTAGAGCTCGGTTCATCACTTTAGAGCTAGGGTTCATCACTTTAGAGCTCGGTTCATCACTTTAGAGCTAGGATTCATCACTTTAGAGCTCGGGTTCATCACTTTAGAGCTAGGGTTCACCACTTTAGAGCTAGGGTTCATCACTTTAGAGCTCAGTTTATCACTTTAGAGCTAGGGTTCATCACTTTAGAGCTCGGGTTCATCACTTTAGAGCTAGGTTTCATCACTTCAGAGCTTGGTTCATCACTTTAGAGCTCGGTTCATCACTTTAGAGCTTGGTTCATCACTTTAGAGCTAGGGTTCATCACTTTAGAGCTAAGGTTCATCACTTTAGAGCTAGGGTTCATCTCTTTAGAGCTCGGTTCATCACTTTAGAGCTAGGGTTCATAACTTTAGAGCTAAGGTTCATCACTTTAGAGCTAGGGTTCATAACTTTATAGCTAGGGTTAATCACTTTAGAGCTCAGTTTATCACTTTAGACCTCGGGTTCATCACTTTAGAGCTCGGGTTCATCACTTTAGAGCTAGGGTTCATCACTTTAGAGCTCGGGTTAATCCCTTTAGAGCTAGGTTTCATCACTTTAGAGCTTGGTTCATCACTTTAGAGCTTGGTTCATCACTTTAGAGCTCGGTTCATCACTTTAGAGCTTGGTTCATCACTTTAGAGCTAAGGTTCATCACTTTAGAGCTAGGGTTCATCACTTTAGAGCTAGGGTTCATAACTTTAGAGCTAAGGTTCATCACTTTAGAGCTAGGGTTCATCACTTTAGAGCTAAGGTTCATCACTTTAGAGCTAGGGTTCATCACTTTAGAGCTAGGGTTCATAACTTTAGCGCTAGGGTTCATAACTTTAGAGCTAGAGTTCATCACTTTAGAGCTCGGTTCATCACTTTAGAGCTAGGGTTCATCACTTTAGAGCAAGGGTTCATCACTTTAGAGCTAGGGTTCATCACTTTAGAGCTCGGTTCATCACTTTAGAGCTAGGGTTCATCACTTTAGAGCAAGGGTTCATCACTTTAGAGCTAGGGTTCATCACTTTAGAGCTCGGTTCATCACTTTAGAGCTAGGGTTCATCACTTTAGAGCTAGGGTTCATCACTTTAGAGCTAAGGTTCATCACTTTAGAGCTCGGTTCATCACTTTAGAGCTAAGGTTCATCACTTTAGAGCAAGGGTTCATCACTTTAGAGCTAGGGTTCATCACTTTAGAGCTCGGTTCATCACTTTAGAGCTCGGTTCATCACTTTAGAGCTAGGGTTCATCACTTTAGAGCAAGGGTTCATCGGTGGCACGAGTTAAAAAAACGTCTTTGTGTCACAGACCACCGACATTCTACGTCCATATGGTACCCAGAACCATAGATGAGCGGACCATAGAGGCGCGGACCATAGAAGAGGGGACCATAGAAGAGCGGACCATAGAGGCGCGGACCATAGAAGAGGGGACCATAGAGGCGCGGACCATAGAGTTGCGGACCATAGAGGCGCGGACCATAGAGGCCATAGAGGCGCGGACCATAGCTAGAAGAGCGGACCATAGAGGCGCGGACCATAGAAGAGGGGACCATAGAAGAGCGGACCATAGAGGCGCGGACCATAGAAGAGGGGACCATAGAGGCGCGGACCATAGAGTTGCGGACCATAGAGGCGCGGACCATAGAGGCCATAGAGGCGCGGACCATAGAGTTGCGGACCATAGAGGCGCGGACCATAGAAGAGGGGACCATAGAAGAGCGGACCATAGAGGCGCGGACCATAGAAGAGGGGACCATAGAGGCGCGGACCATAGAGTTGCGGACCATAGAGGCGCGGACCATAGAAGAGGGGACCATAGAGGCGCGGACCATAGAGGCGCGGACCATAGAAGAGCGGACCATAGAGGCGCGGACCATAGAGGCGCGGACCATAGAGGCGCGGACCATAGAGGCGCGGACCATAGAAGAGCGGACCATAGAAGCGCTGGGGTCTGTAACTTTACACAGCTCTTGGTTCTCAGTTCTGAGGCATTGTCGACACGTTTTGATCCGTACAGTGCCTTGCGAAAGTATTCGGCCCCCTTGAACCTTTCAACATTTCAGGCTTCAAACATAAAGATATAAAAAAAAAATTTCAAGAATCAACAACAAGTGGGACACAATCGTGAAGTGGAACGAAATTTATTGGATAATTTAAACTTTTTTAACAAATAAAAAACTGAAAAGTGGGGCGTGCAATATTATTCGGCCCCCTTGCGCTAATACTTTGTAGCGCCACCTTTTGCTGCAATTACAGCTGCAAGTCGCTTGGGGTATGTCTCTATCAGTTTTGCACATCGAGAGACTGGAATTCTTGCCCATTCTTCCTTGCAAAACAGCTGGAGCTCAGTGAGGTTGGATGGAGAGCGTTTGTGAACAGCAGTCTTCAGTTCTTTCCACAGATTCTGGATTGGATTCAGGTCTGGACTTTGACTTGGCCATTCTAACACCTGGATACGTCTATTTGTGAACCATTCCATTGTAGATTTGGCTTTATGTTTTGGATCATTGTCCTGTTGGAAGATAAATCTCCGTCCCAGTCTCCGGTCTTTTGCAGACTCCAACAGGTTTTCTTCCAGAATGGTCCTGTATTTGGCTCCATCCATCTTCCCATCAATTTTAGCCATCTTCCCTGTCCCTGCTGAAGAAAAGCAGGCCCAAAGCATGATGCTGCCACCACCATGTTTGACAGTGGGGATGGTGTGTTCAGGGTGATGAGCTGTGTTGCTTTTACGCCAAACATATCGTTTTGCATTGTGGCCAAAAAGTTTGATTTTGGTTTCATCTGACCAGAGCACCTTCTTCCACATGTTTGGTGTGTCTCCCAGGTGGCTTGTGGCAAACTTTAAACCAGACTTTTTATGGATATCTTTGAGAAATGGCTTTCTTCTTGCCACTCTTCCATAAAGGCCAGATTTGTGCAGTGCACGACTGATTGTTGTCCTATGGACAGACTCTCCCACCTCAGCTGTAGTTATCTGCAGTTCATCCAGAGTGATCATGGGCCTCTTGGCTGCATCTCTGATCAGTCTTCTCCTTGTTTGAGATGAAAGTTTGGAGGGACGGCCGGGTCTTGGTAGATTTGCAGTGGTCTGATACTCCTTCCATTTCAATATAATTGCTTGCACAGTGCTCCTTGAGATGTTTAAAGCTTGGGAAATCTTTTTGTATCCAAATCCGGCTTTAAACTTCTCCACAACAGTATCTCGGACCTGCCTGGTGTGTTCCTTTGTCTTCATGGTTCTCTCTGCGCTTTAAACAGAACCCTGAGACTATCAAAGAGCAGGTGCATTTATACGGAGACTTGATTACACACAGGTGCATTCTATTTATCATCATCAGTCATTTAGGACAACATTGGATCATTCAAAGATCCTCACTGAACTTCTGGACTGAGTTTGCTGCACTGAAAGTAAAGGGGCCCAATAATATTGCACGCCCCACTTTTCAGTTTTTTATTTGTTAAAAAAGTTTGAATTATCCAATACATTTTGTTCCACTTCACGATTGTGTCCCACTTGTTGTTGATGCATGACAAAAAAATATCTTTATGTTTGAAGCCTGAAATGTGGCGAAATGTTGAAAGGTTCAAGGGGGCCGAATACTGTAAATATCATATTGTGACACTTCTGACTCTTCTCTCGTCTGGACAGGTGCCCCTCCTCCCCCGCCTCCTCCCCCTCCCCCGCCTCCTCCCCCGTCTATCCCAGGACCATCTCCCGCGGCACCCTCTGCAGGTCGTGCCGCTCTGCTCAGCTCCATCCAGGGCTTCAGCAAAGGTCACCTGAGGAAGGCTGAGTCTGTGGACAGGAGCCAGCCTCTGCTATAACCCGGACTGGACCGGGACTGGACTGGGACTGGACTGGACCGGGACTGGACTGGGACTAGACTGGGACTAGACCGGGACTTCACAGGATGATAGGGAAGGTTTAGATGTTGGATGAACATTGAAACAAATGTGAGGATGGGGGATCGTCCATCTTATGAAAGTTAAAATGGGCCCAAAAACCTGCACTTTGAACCACTTCCTGTCTGAGCCCATGGGGTTAGAGTTATGGCTAACCCTAACTCAGGTTAGCTCTAGCTCAGGTTAGCTCTAACTTAAGGTTATCTCTAACTTGAGGTTAGCTCTAACTTGAGGTTAGCCATGACCCATGTATGGATCTGTTCCTGTTCCTAGCTGCTTTTAATGTTTCTTCTGTTTTCCTCTGCATACATTTGCATTATGTGATATGAAAAACTGTCCAGCACCAGGCGCGACCATGTTCAGGACCATGTGTGTTCAGCACCAGGTGTGTTCAGGACCATGTGTGTTCAGCACCATGTGTGTTCAGCACCAGGTGTGTCCAGGACCATGTTTGTCCAGCACCAGGCGTGTTAGGGTTTGATGAGAGAATGATGTTTTATGATTGGACAGTTTTACAATGTTTTTTTGAACCAATGTCTGTTTGAATTATTGTTCAAATAAATAAAATGTTTTGTGAAAGAAAGTGAGATCAGTGCTTATTGTCGGTAACAATGATTTTGAGTTTGAGCCATAATGTTTCTCTGGTCTCTCTCTGCTCTGTCTCGGGTTTACAGTCCTATCAGGAGGCTGTCTTCTGAAGGAAGTAGTGGTTAGGGTGTCATACAAAGTGACTGTCCCCCGAAAGGACAGGGTTAGGGTCCCCGACTCTGGACCAAGCGGAGGTCCCTGGGCACTGGCAACCTCCAGGACCAGGACCAGGGCAGTCCCTGCAGCACTGTCCACGGTGGGCTAGGGTTATATATTATATATATATATATATATATATATATTTATTATATGACTTGGACCGTACGCGCGCTCTGATTGGTTGATTTGCGGTCTGATATTTTCCCATCTCAGACCGTTACCATGACAATTGGTCCGAACAGCACGCATCACACAAAACCAAGTCGGACATGAACATACTTCACAAATATCTCAAAAGCATTGGTAAAGACACAGACGAGAGTCATATAATAAAACATTTATTAACCTCGCTTGCTCGGTCTGTACAGAGAAATATCAGACCTTGGCCTTTTTGCACAGACCTCGCCACGGCTCGGTCTGTACATTAAGGCCGTGGTCTGATATTTCTCCATACAGACCTCCCCACCGCTGTCAGACTGTACAATAAGTCACTTTAAATGATCACTGTATGAAAACCTGCACTACTATTGACACTGTTTCCAATTGACACTTGTCACTTTTGTTGTACATAATTATTGTCACTTTTATTGTACATATATATCCTGCATGTAACATGTTTGCACATTATTTCCGCCTTTTGCACAATCTGAGTGTCTCTATCCATGCCAAATGTGACATGTACATTTCTCCTCTGTGAGATAAATAAAGCACATCTTATCTCTTATCTTACCTCGCGGTCGGTTATTAAGCCGTTAATATCACCAACTTCTTTATATATCACCCAACTCCTCCCAGTTTGAAGTGGAGAGGATCAAAAACAGTAGTAGTAGTAGTAGTAGTAGTAGTGTGTTTATTTCAAATTACATGCGCAATACAAAAAAACAAAAACAAAAGAAGAAACATATAAACATATATATGCACAATTCGAAAAGGAGTAGGTAGAAGTGAAACTTATGCTTCCTACCCCTTGTTACAAACTTTTCTAGCATGAAGCCCTCCACCTGTCTTCTGGATCCTCTCCCCACAACACTTCTCAACATTTTTGCCATAATCCTGTTAATCACAGCAATCATTAACCAGTCAGTAAAATCCGATCAGGTCCCCCCAGCTCTCAAGAATGCAGTAATCCACCCCCACCTGAAAAAACCTTCACTTGACCCCAACAACCTAGCCCACTACAGACCAGTCTCAAACCTCCCATTCCTCGCCAAAGTCCTCGAAAAAGCAGTAGCAGCCCAACTCCACAGTCACTTACGCGCCCATTACCTATATGAGAAATTTCAGTTAATGACGCTGCCCTGGTCCGTGTCATGAACGACCTACTCATGACTGCGGACCGAGCTCACCCTCTCTCCTCCTCCTCCTGGATCTGTCAGCAGCTTTTGATACCGTGGACCACACCATCCTCCTCCGTAGACTACAGTAATTGGACTTTCTCAGACAACACTAAAATGGTTTCACTCATATCTCACTGACAGAACAGAATATGTATCCCTAGGCCAGTCCAAATCTTCACCTCATACAGTTACATGTGGAGTACCGCAGGGCTCAGTCCTCGGGCCGACCCTTTTTACAATATACATCAGAATCAGAATCATTTTTATTGCCACGTAAGTAACAGAAGTCACCACCAGGGCATTTGACACAGTAAATCACAACATTCTTCTGACTAAACTAAACAACTTTAACTTTAACTTCTCCATTAACACTGTAAAATGGATTCGGTCATATTTGAATAATCGTTCTCAGCATGTCACAGTGCAAAACTGCCAATCCCCTGCACTCCCTGTATCAACTGGTGTGCCTCAAGGGTCAATCCTGGGGCCTCTATTATTCTCCCTGTATATAAATGACCTCCCGTCTGCCTGCCCGAATGTCTCTGTGCAGATGTATGCAGATGATACTGTGCTGTATGTTCATGGCAGCAGTGTTTCCCAAGTGGCTGAAAAGCTCACCCAGGCCTTGGTTCACATCACAGCATGGCTGGAGCACTGCTGCCTACAGTTAAACACTTCAAAAACTGTATCAATGCTTTTCTCCAAAAAAACATATTACATATGTGCCTGATGTTCATGTTTCAGGTATAAGGCTGCAGACCGTATCCCAGTACAAATATCTTGGCATAATCCTGGACTCAACTCTCTCATTCAAACCTCATGTTAAAATGGTCAGTAATCACATTAAGTTCACCCTCAGTAACTTCAGACACATCCGGCCCCAAATGTCAACACAAGCATCAGAAATGTACATGCACTCATCCTTTCACATCTAACTGTTTAACTGTATGGTCACATTAGCATGTGACCATACCTAACCCTAACCCTAACTCTCAAACCCATCCTGTCCCTCTACAAACGCACCATAAAAACTCTGGACCGCAAACCACTGTCACATCATCACTGTTCAATATTACAAAAGCATAATTTACTCTGTTGGGAAAACATGGTCAAATACTCACATCTCTGCCTCACCTATAAAATAATACATGGTTTGTCATCAGCCCCACTCACACAGTCCATTCACATCAATACAGCAGAACTCAGGAGAACCAGAGCAGCAGCAAGGGGCGACTGCATCATCCCTCTGAGAAAAAGCCTCTTTAGTCAATCAACATATTCTGTCAAAGCCGCCCATGAATGGAATCTCACCCCCACAACAATTAGGAACACCAATACATATGAAACATTCAAAATACAGGTAAAAAAATGGCTCATTCATAATCAAAGCTGTCAGCACTGACTCCTCACCGCTGGCCCCTGTTGGCCTCTTGTTCTTTGTCTGTGAGTCTGAATTGTCTTCATTTTTTGTTGAGTGTGTAACAGTTGTGTGTTCATGTCTATATGTTTGATTTGTGTTATTGAGGGTATTGCTTGTATATATTTTACTGTGTTATGTTTTATCTGTTTGTGATATGTTTAATTTTATTCCCTTCAGGTAGGACACTTAACAACTGTCCAGGGACTACAGGCTAATTCTGGCATATTTACATGCATAATGTATTTTAATATGCACTGTCCCTTTAATAAATAAATAAATAAATAAAATAAATAAACATCCGAGAAAGAGTCTCAGGTATGAAAAACTGGACAGCACCTGGCCCTGATATGGTCCATGCCTACTGGCTAAGGACACTCACATCACTCCATGAGCGCCTAGCAGCACAAATGAACCATGAACCAGTGAATGAATGTCTCAGGCAGTGGCGAGATGAGGAGGTCCTGGAGGAGAACCCATCATGGGAGAACAAGCCCCTACACGGCATGTACCACCGGAGCATAACAGAAGTGGCTGATCTCAAGAAGTCCTTCCAATGGCTAGAAAGGGCTGGCCTACAGGACAGCACAGAGGCACTCATCATGGCTGCACAGGAACAGGCCCTGAGCACCAGAGCGATAGAGGCCCAGATATACCACACCAGACAAGACCCAAGGTGTCGGATCGTCTCAGGTGCCTCTTTGCACAACCAACACATAACTGCAGGGTGCAAGATGCTGCAGGGAAGGCCTACATGGAACGCCATAACCAAGTGGCTGGCATAGTGTACAGAAACATCTGTGCAGAGTATGGGCTGGAAACCCCAAGGTCTAAGTGGGAAACTCCTCCAAAGATGGTGTAGAATGAGAAGATCCTGTGGGACTTCCAGATACAGACCGACCGAATGGTAATGAACCAACCTGACATCGTGGTGGTGGACAAAGGGCAGAGGACAGCCGTGGTGGTGGACAAAGGGCAGAGGACAGCCGTGGTGGTGGACAAAGGGCAGAGGACAGCCGTGGTGGTGGACAAAGGGCAGAGGACAGCCGTGGTGGTGGACAAAGGGCAGAGGACAGCCGTGGTGGTGGACAAAGGGCAGAGGACAGCCGTGGTGGTGGACAAAGGGCAGAGGACAGCCGTGGTGGTGGACAAAGGGCAGAGGACAGCCGTGGTGGTGGACGTGGAAATTCCAAGCGATGGTTTAGTTTAGTTTAGTTTAGTCTTTATTTGAAGGGACAGTGTACAGAGACATTAAGCTCAAAGACAGATATGTTCTGCACCAGATTATAGCTAAACAGCTAGTTTCCATCTGCAGTCCCTGGTTACATCAATAAAATACATGGATACAGTAATGTACAATCCTAAAAAAATAACATTGCAATACAACACATTCTCTCTAATACAGACACACACATTTAGCC